GTACGAAAGACGCTTAAGATTTGAATCGTGTTGATATTGAAACTCTTTGTCAAAGATACACCGCTAGATCGGAAACGGCTATGCCGAGCATAGATATCTAAGACTGCTACAGCGGAAACGGCTGCACAGATGTGCAGTCGGCAATGATGGGCGTTGTGCATCGCATTAACCCGGCGTTGCGGGTGTAGGGGATGCAATCTGCTCCCCCCGCGTCCAATATTCGTGATAATTTTAAAAGACCTTGAGATGTCACTGCGAAATTTTCATTACCGATTAATTGATAAATTCTACGCTTTGTGTTCACACGACGACTATCATACATTGATAGGTCAAGCGTGAGTGTCACCAGAGTGACGTGGTGTTTGCCGATTTTTTACGATCTGTAAACATCACGCCGCAGACAGGTTGACACAAAAACCGAACGAGAAAAACATATGTTACACCTGTATACGGGAAATGTGAGCCAATTAGTCCATTATTCATATCCTTTGTCGCTGAATTGTTTCCGTGTTGAATTTGGAAATATTGTCATGTCAAATAACAAAAACAAATATTTATAAAAGTATACATAACATTTTTTGGTCTCGGTCTCAAATAACGAAAACATGAAGAAGCTTTCCTAGATACGACGAAGATGGATACCAAGTTTCAAGCAATTATCTGTAACAATGATTACGTTACTACTCGACATGCGTCACAGCGCACGTTGTCCGAGCCCAGGTGGGCCCAGGCACGTGGCGGCGGGCGGCGGGGCTCAGGTCTGCCGCGGCGGCACGATGACGGGGCGGCAGAGGCCGTTTTATCAGTTTCACTCGCGAACTGACCACGTGCCCGACGGCGGGGTCAAAGGGTATTAGGGTGCGCTGTCGGCAGGACTAAACTGTCGAACATAACACGAATATCGATCTGGCCGCTTATTGAAAGCCGATGTCATTTATCTGACCTTGATCTTAGACGGTTTATAAAAGGGTAACAACTCTTGCTCACGTGTCTGATAACCATAACTGCGGCTAAGCTCTGTCACGTCGCGTTTAGATGGTTCAAATATGACGAAAATAAATAGACCAAGTTTCCATACAGACCAAGGCCTCAGCTCTCATTTGTACGGCATGTGACCTTCGTTCTAGGTGTAGTGCGACGCGCGTAACATTGGATATCGTCCTACACAACATATTTGATCAGGTTGCAGTGATTTCACCTCACGGGATGTGCTTCTAAATGAAATGCCTTGTGGGAGCGGTCCGATATCCAGAAGAAGCGCCTCTAAAATTTGAACTCGACCTGTGACCTAAACACACAGTTCAAGTCGAGTCTGTTTGAACGTTTAAGACCGCACATCACGGCGCTATCGATTACAACTTGAATTTTTGAATTCGGCCCAGCCGCTCTTGAGATCAGCAGAAAGCAAATGTGGCCATCTTCGGTCAATCGTGTGCCGCTGGGGATACCGGTCAATGCCGGGTTAAACTAATTCTGGGTATATAAGAGGGGGGGGGGGGGGGGGCTTAACGATAACATCCTCGACACAAGCAAATGAAGCGTTGTTTTCGATTGATGAAGGCAGGCGTTTCACAAAAGAGGACCGTCGGGTTGGGTTACCGGTAACTCGCCCGATTTTCCTTGGTTTGCCCAGCCTCCCTGTGAGTCTATATCATTTTGCAGCTGACGCCCCTCTTTCCATTGGACACGTGTGAAAGTAATTTAACGTGGGTGTTACCGATGTAGTGGCATTATATATGCAAGCTCATATGTGCTTGCGAGCTTGTTCCGTTAAGCAACGGAGCGTTTATGGACGATTTGTGTTTGCATGATTTCGGGACGCATTCAACACCATTCATGGAATTCCCTGGCTGACCCGAACTCTGGCTGCCGGGATGCCTGACGGTAACCGGACGTGATGTACTGACTACCAGGAGCGTTGAAACCTTGCTCTCCAGACCTCCACTGCGGTTTGACGATTGCTTTACATTACAAGAAAACTACGCTGGCTACCACTACAAATGCCAGTTTTTCCTAATTTCGTCATTGTCACTTGTCAATGCTGCTGCAATGTTTCTGTGTTGTTAGACTCTAAGTGACACCAAAACAAACCCCGCGAAGCCACAGAGAGTGCCGTTTTACACCACTGAGCCTCGCTGACAAATCGTTACATTTCTTCGGTCCTCTTCTCGCGCCAGTTGCAATTTATTCTTTCCTCGCCTGGTGCGGTTTCTTTGGCATTCATAAAATAAGGAGTTCGGGTAATGCATTTGATTCGCCACAAGGAATGAATGAATGAATACACGAGTGACGGCTGCCGGACGCTGGCAACATTCAGTGCGTGCTCGTCTTGTCGTTTTACTTGAAATAATGGCCGCCAGCGACTGGGCGATTAAACGGTGGTATTTCGATGACGCGAAAAAGTCGAACTCCAGCTGTTAAGGTAAAATTGATGTATGACCGGAAGAGTGTAAATAACGAAATATAAATGGCTAGTAAATACAATGAATCGGTGCTCGACGCGATGTACACGTCGCTACGACTCTGGCCACAGTTTCGAAGACAGCGCTTTGTATTCGGCACCGTTTTTCGAATTGCCGACATTCCCAGGTTGTCCGTATCGGCGCAACCGTGCGTCGCACAAACTCGTGTAGAATACATATTGCAGATGGTACGTTGACCGACGCTTTGAAAATGGAGCCACACCTCTACTCGCCCTGACGAAAAAACCGGGCGAATCCATATTGGCCGCTGCCGCGAGCATGACACATGGCATGTGGGGCCACGCGCCTGGCACCACGTGGTTCCCGCTCGATCAACCTTTGCGTGCTAATTTATTGTTACTCCAACCTTTTTTGCCAAGGTGTAGTAATAATCGGCTTTGTCGTGGGCTACATTTTCTCGTCACCCGCGCAAAACAGTCGGGCCTTTAACAGTTTTTCCGCCACGTGCCACGCCCGAACCGCGGACGGCAGCGACTTGCGATCTTCTCGTGGAAAACCGCCTTCTGCACCTACTCGTCGTGTCAAAATTTAATCGCCCGCCATTTCAGCAGCGGCCCGACGTTCTGCCCGTGGACGGCATTAGGCAAAAGGGGACAGCCAGACAAACAGACGCACCCTCAGCAAATAGTTTATTGACAGGCTTTAACACGCTTGCTTCTCCACACCAAGCGGAGAAACGTATAGTTATGAATCATCTATATTATGCAGTTTAATTCAAGCGTCTAGGTGCCCTGGCTGCCAAAATATGACGCAAAACGTGAAAAAAACGGCCGGCAGTAGCCAAATTCGTCTTGTCGTCCGCGCACGCGGACACCTGGCACGTGCGAAATCATACTTTGCGCAGCGCAATTGCCCGTTCGATTCACTGTTAATGCATACTACTCCCGTGTCGGTCCGTGTCCCAGGCATTGATGATCCCTGTAGGCACCTGCTGTATGTATATATGTCGTCCAAGCCGCCACCCACAATGAAGCGTGGCTATAACATCTCCATTTCAATAGTACAGGAGGTAAGAACATTAAGTTAAAAAAGCATGACAAAAACATACAACACCCAGACACCCATCCACCCGATATCGATAGTATTAGTGCTCAGACGGGTGCGCTCATACCGCGCGCATGAAACGCTGCTGTGTTAGTTGTGTGATGCGGCTGGCGGTGCATTATACAATGCTGACGCGTGGTATCCAAGATGTCACTTACCGCTCTCTGTTCTCGGCCTAGGGAGGCGCAGAGAGGTAAGTACTAAAAGTAAAGCGTCAATGGGAAGGTGTAACGAATATTGGTAACTGAAGTGTCTATGTATCGTTGAAATGAGAACCATTCACATTCCCCTGCATTATCATACCCGCCCCTGCTACCATATGCAATGAACCCCTGTTTGACCTCGAATAAATAAACAGTTCCCCACCGACAGTTACCACGCATTTTATGGTTCGCGCCGGACCATACCATACGCGAGCTGATCCAGCTCCATAAACACCACAGCTACTAGCATGTTTGACATCCGTGGCGCATTTCCGACAAATGCATTCCGAAGGTCGGACACATGGGGCATAAACTCCTTCGTGTACGTCATATAGTTTATTGCTAGTATGTACTAGACACTTCCATGCCAATAATTTAGCAAAATGTGTATTTTCTGCGAAGCCTGCATATGCTGTCCTCAAAATGATCAAAATTGTAAACAACTCGAGTAGTAATTCTTAAGTGTCTGATAGACGTTGGAAACACAACATAATATGTTAGTTCCAAGCTCTGTGGTGCGAAAGAGCCGCCACAAATTTACCCTGCACATTAGGGGAGGCGTAATGCTTTGATTGCTGGAGCATGGCTGAATAGCAACAAGTGAGGGGAAGAAGTGTACCGAGCATGATGCAGTGTGCTTAGCTGGGGATTGGGCACCATGCCGGAGCATCTAAAAGTTCAAAGCATAACTGGCGCTTAAAGGGGGATACCCAGCGTAAAATGCAGTCTGTTGCCAGGTTGTGAGATAACTTAAAGGGGACAAAAAATTGGTACGTTATTACGGACAGCATTATGCATTCCCGTAAAGGAATCCAACTATCCATAAACAAGCTCCTTCTTCTTAAAATTGGATGCATGCAGCCCGGTATCGCGGATTCAAAGCTGTTTATTCTTGCTGTTGCTATAAATCGAAAAAATAACTTAACTGTGAGGCACGAATTTTTTTTGCTCGCAGGGCCAGCCTGATCTATTTTCCGCCTACTATGCCAGATGTAATTGTGAGAAATGCAGAAAAACCGTCTTCAATGTTATGAGTGCAGAAGCCGTGCCCACATTATTAATATATATTTCTATGTGGGTACATGTCTGTTATACTGTCACGCCTCATTTTATTATTCCTCCCGCTTATGTGCTACTAGAATGAAACCTGATTTCTTGGATGAAAAGCGCTATTCTGACGTCACATATCTGCTTCCATATGGCTGCCGTCCAACGCCTTCTCATATAATCTGTAAACAAACTTTCTGCTGGCTGCCTGTTTGCATCTCAGGCCGGGCAGGTGTGGGCGTGTGTGAGCGGTCTGTGATATGTAATGTATGCGTGGTGTAATCGTTGCCTTTCAACCTCCCTACTGTAATTTTTTATATAAGCAACATACGGAATATAGTTCTGATATAAGGGGTCATTGGTGATCGCTTACCATCAGTACCATTAGTGAATTCAGCTTGAAGTGTAGCTTTAAATTTGATACTTCGAAAGGCGCCTTTAGGCTCCTGTGCATTTGATTGATGGGAGACAAAACTATATCACATGAAGAAATATGTGCAGGTGGAGACATTGGTAAAAATGCACAATGGAAGAATGCACAAGAACGTAATGGTGCAGCCCAGCGCCGGGTGCTCTGGGAAGACTCAACAGAACTGGAGGGAGGAGAGGGGGATGAGTAAGTCAAGACTATATCATTGTATGTGTGTAGAGTAGAATTCGGCTGTCAGTGCATCGATTAGATAGGATTAAGTCGAATGGAAATAGTATGTATCATGTGTCTTCAATGAGCAGTGTATTGTATGACTAGAGTATCAACATATTATGCCATGTAAGTCCTGCAATAAAACATTAAACCATTATTGTTCTGCATGGCTTGCAGCTGATTTTCTATGGTAGAAATTTTGATATTTTTATGCTTGATATGGGCTAGGTGGTTGCTATACTTGTGTAACAGATTACCAGGTTTTTGGTGACTGCATGATGATAATAGAAACCTGTATATAATTCACTTCATTTGTGAATGTACATCATCACACTTGCACAACTTTTGGGCTCAAGTTTCTAGATGAACCGTTGCCATGCTGCAAAGAGGAGGTCTTATTTTTAGTTCTCAAGGAATGTAGTTCTGTGTTATGGGATGTTCAACAGCATAACCAAGCCGGTTAATTAAGACATATTTAAATAGTCAGCCTGTCTTAATGTGATATCTTAGTTATTGGTCTCTGTCTCATTTTAAGTGATTTAAAACCATCCTGAAAATATCTGAAAAATTGGTTTGATATATCAAGGCAGGAAAAATGTTGAAAAATATGATAATAAATGAGAGGGTTTGTTTACATTTGATTGTTTACATTTGATTAATGGACTATTAAAGCCCAAACAATGCATATTAGGAATAAGGCATTGCATAGGATGTTAGGTTATGAACATTACAGCACCTTATGACAGTTCTTACATTGGAGGACATTCAAGAAAATAGGCAGGCATATTTTTGCTAATGCATGAGGACAGTGACAGTCAACTGCCAAGGCCACTGGTGACAAGGGAAACCCTATCTACATTGATACTGAAACCAGCTGTACCTTCATTTGGCTGAGTTTGAACTTCCAGGCACCTCTTAGTGAAAACAATGTCTGTGCAAGTGATCTCTGTTCAGGCCCATCCACTGAGCCACCGATGGTATACAGCGACTACTCTCGGTGCGGTGGCGCGATGGGGACACTCACTCGAGGCTGGGCTGGGTGTTTCCCCTGGCGATGCTCAGCGCTCCTTGCTGAGGCGCAATCGCGTGGTTGCCCGCACGGGCACGTGCCCCGCCCCCTATCGAATGTATTGCGTGTATTGATGTGTGCATGGATACATTCTTGCAATTTACATTTGGAAGTGGACGCATATATCTAAACGTATTGGGAACATACGATGTTGCCTTATGCCATGCAAGACATTTCACGTTCCTGTGGCGCTCTAAATTTGATTTTCCGCGCACGTTCTTCAGTTTCGCCCCCTCCGTCGCGTATCCCCGCATGCTTACCTTACCCTTGACTAACGCTTGAATATCTGCACCCATCACCGTCCGGTGTGGCGGACCACCCAGCACGTGAAAGCCGTATGCAATATGTGAATGCGGAGGCACAATCTAAGTGCACTTACTAGCATAATACATGCAGCAGGTAACGTACTCAATGACGGTGGTGTGCGTGCCCCTGGGACCCCGTAAATTGGTCTCTGATGTCACACCACCGCCCCAGACACCGCCCCACCCAGACTTTACCCCAGGCGGGTGGCGTGAGGGGGAGGGGAGGGGGTGGCGGGCTGCGGCGCTCCCATTGATTTTCACTCCGGACACTGCTGGGATGGCTGAGCTCCGAGTTTTAGTGACAGTTGCGTCGAAGACGGGCGAGATTCGCGGAATGACGGGTCCCGGGCAATTGATCGTAGCGGCGACAAGGCTGGGTCAGCCCTTGGCCGTATGAAGTGGCTGGGAATCAATAAACGCCGAAGTCGCGCCTACTTGCCGTGGTCCAAGGGATTGGAACGCGCGGTCCCGGCTCGTGTAAAGTGCAACTATATTATAATAATAAGGGCGAGCCGCACTTCGGAGACCGTTCACAGAGAGCTGACCATGCTTGTGCGCGGATATTGCGCGTTTGACACCCGTCTGTAACAAAAGATTTCATCCTGTCTCTGGGGCTCACTTTCCCTCTGTGCCGCCGTGTGTGATTGCCGTTTGGTTCGTGGTGCAGTGGCTTACATGTTAGGTGGGCTCGGAATTCACGGCGATCTAGGCTGTGGCGTTATCCCCGTTCTTGACGACGGTGGGAAAGTCTGGTGTTCTTTCGGTGAAAGTGGCCTGGACCTCCATCATAGCGTGTATCAAACACACGTGCATGTGTCTAGCCAAACGGGTCCGTGGGAATCCGTGAAGAGCTCATCTCCTTGAGGCGCTCAAGCTCATGTCGAAACTTCCAGGGACGAAGAATCCCAATGACGACCGATTTCACGCTGCAAGATATGGACCGCTGAAAAGAAGTTGCCCCATTGCTATCGGATGCAGTCTTGACCTCAACACGCTTCGTAGGCATGCCCCGTGCTGGTTTTGTTGGCCAATCACTTATGGTTATCCTATGATTAGCACCACCTGCGTTCGGAGGTCAGGGACATCTGTGCCGCAGTGTTCTAGTCGGAGCAAACAAACGCGATGGCTGCATATTCATGTCTAAGAGCGGTGCCCCGGAGACCACATCATTCGGATAATCGTTGGTTTACCATTAAGTCATGCTGTTGCATCATAATAAAAATTATAGATGCCCTCACCACCATCCATTTTTCTCCGCCCCCTTCGTTGCCATTGGGTGACACCGCGCCTGCGACAGTACCCACGCATTAGATTTGATGAAGATACACGAAACCAAATATTCGCTTGGTGGTATCCCAAAACCGCATGCCGTGGACGGTACCTGCGACGCAAAACACCAGCGTCGATGTCAGGTGTAATTTGAGCGCGGGGAGTAATTGGTAGGTGGTCCGCCCTGCGGCGAGAGCGGCGTACGCTCGGATAGCTTGGCCTTGGGACCTGACATTACGCAGTCATGTAGCTCCGAGAGGGAGCACCGGTGCCCGCTGCGCAGTTTGATTGAAAACTGCTTATTTGTTTGGGCCTTCTCCCGGTGTTTTGGTGGCCTTCAGCCTTCCGGTCTGGCAGATGACTGCATCTGCTGCCCATCTGGCACAGGGCCATGTACGGACGTCCCCGTCGAAGGATGTCAGATCGGGAAAAAGCGTTTTTGGAAGTGGAAGCGCTAGAGGCGGTGGGTAGTTGGAAGTGCGTTCCTCATTTTCAGCGATCGATAGTAATACACCATCCATGGGGCACAGCGCGCCACATTGCTCGTTTTGTGTCTCTCCCGGAATGATGTCTGCTGATAGCATTGTGAGGTGACGTTTTGGTCGCAATAACCTATTTAGTCAGTTGTCGCTGGGAACATGGGTTTCACGATGAAATGACCGTCTCTAAGACCCCTATTGTCATTATCAAGAACATGGGTCTCTGCATATCGAATAACAGCCGAATAACGTGGCCGTGACCTGCAGAATCAATGGTGTGGTGCAGTTGAATCTGGTAAATAATTACTAGTTTTCGCTTCTACGCTAGCAGAGTAATGAGTTAGCTTCTATTCTTGGATGGCAGGCTTGACTATTGTTTATCTGACGCTTGCTCGTGACACATGTTTAGTCACCAAAGTTGTTATAAAAAACAATTGTGGGGTGGTTTGGACAAGAATGAATATTAAAAAACAATTGTGGGGTGGTTTGGACAAGAATGAATATTAAAAAACAATTGTGGGGTGGTTTGGACAAGAATGAATATATATATATATATATATATATATATGTATGCATAAAGTGGTACATTTAACTCCTAACAGCTGACAACAGCCCTCTGCAGATTCTGTTGTCTGTATAACGACGGCGGTCGCGACAACTGCAATTGTCGCAGACTCTGGATACATTTCTGGGCTACCAAAAAAGGAAGAAGTGTAGTGCTGTCATGAGACGTGTACAGCATTATTTGGACGGTAAAATAAGGAGAAAATATATTTCCCCATTATATATTGATGGTGCCGCAGCGGCACTACGCGGTGCTCTTAATATATCGAAATGATCCTGGAGATTCACCAGAGCATGTTTTTGAATTTTTTTTGAAAAGCTGTGATATTCCCTTTAATGACATAGGACCTGCCAATAAGCCTGTCCGAGTTAATTGTGCAGAAATGTGTGACGCATTCCTTATTCTTGCGGTACCCATTTTTGCCAGGAGCTTTCCATTTAAACGCCGCAATAAGCCTGCAGAGTTTTGGTCTTAGCACGGTCCCAATGAGAGACAACTCCCACATAACGGTACTGTCATTATGGGTGCGCTTTAATCCATCACACAACGGCCAAATGACAAAGCGCAAGAGTAACATTATTTCAGGCGTTCTCGGGTGGAGTTGAAAGCTGTCAGCTTCGGATAACGATTTTCCAGACTTCCTTGGAAAAATGAAACCAGAAAGCCTTTTATTAAGCCCTGTCTTTAAAAGGCTGACCTGCGAAAAGCGTTCGGAGTTTTTTTTTAGAATCATTGATTAATGGTGATTCCGAAACGGCTGGTTTCAGCCGCGACAAACGCAGACACCGCTGAAGTATTTTTTGCGTGTTATGCCTTCGGGTTACGTCCCTGCGTCGGTGACCCAGTACTCTGCGGTACTGTAGGTACGACTGGGGCGTACTTGACACACGTGAGGCCCGCATCGTAGCAAAACGTTGCAGAAATATTGCAGTGGGAAGGGTAAATGACACGCGAGAAAATGTATGGATTAAAAGGTTCCGCCACTCTGCAGTCGTGGCCAGTGCTCTGCGGTCGTGGCCAATGTTCGGCGTGCTCAATCCCTTTCACACGAAGGAAAAGTGTAATGTTGGCGACCCCCTGCGATGTAATGGGAAGATGACACAAACGGTAGCGAATTCGAGGTAATTAAATGCAGCTCTTTGGCAAAACAAACATGATGCAGCGTAGGAGGCAAAAAACTGGCCATGGCAGGAATGAGTCTTTGCCTATGGAATTGGTGACTTAAGTCTCCAATTCGAGTACAATACGATAGGCCGCAAAACTAACTATATTTTGGCAGGTATGCCCTCTTCAACTAGGTGGAAGCTTGGAAATTTTCATGTTTTGGCTCACCGTAAATATAATGCAAAGCCAAACAAGAATCCAGAACGTGGGACGTTTTATGGAGACACTTTATGTGAAAATTTTCTATTTACCGAGGCATTCTAACACATTGGTCAATCTTACCCTCGCAAATATTCCGCAGGTTGTGAACAGCGGGACGCTGTTTATGTTTATGAGAGTAAGATGACGAACAAATGGCAATACAGGAAATATTAATAGAAAGTGGACACACAAGGCTGATTCAGGACATACGAAAGAAGTGTACTTGGGTCCATATGGTGCAAATGCGCTCGGTTATCCTAGTAAGGGCCAACTGCTGACGTTGTTTATGAAATGTTATAGGCCACGTGCCGAAATTGCTGCTTGAAGTTCTTTTTGCTACGTACCCAAGACGCTTGCATGATATTTTCCCTTGTATCGGCATGTCAGGAAGCACGCCAAAGCCCTGCTGAGTCCGAAAGTGAAGCCCAACCGGGTTATTGAGGATTCTGCGGAATGCCCCGCGGCGAGGACCACGAAACCTGACACAGACCGGACGTGTACACTCCTGTTTGGCTAGCCGGACACAGAATGCATGTGACTCGGTACAATGCATTCTTGGCAGAGCGAGTGCTATCAAATCCAGAGGCACACGGGACGCACCTGCCCTTTCTAATCAGGTACGTCGGTCTGCGCAGGTCGGTGCGGAACAGGTGCTGTTTTAGTTGCTCTTGATTGGTCCAAGCCGCTCTGCCTTTTTGACAATTTTTCACGAATTTTTCGACTTTGCGGCATAACTACAAGGTGGGGGTAGTGTAAGGTACATCATATATCCTTTTCGTCTTTGTGGCGGTTGGTCGGGGCTGGGACGCTGGTGGACAACTTGTTTAGGTTTGAAATTAGCCTTGGGGTTATCTTTTATTTTGGCATGTATGAACGATACTGTCTGTGCTGCGGTTGACAACCTACGGTGTAGATGAAGAATGAACAGCCCGCTGTGACTTTGGTTTGGGTGTCGGCTTCGGCTTCACAGTTCCGAGCTTTGAAGCCGCTGGCTTCGGCTTCAGTTTCGTTAAACCGAAATGTAATGAATTTTGCAGTCTACTCCATTCCATTCGAATTGGAAACTGAAGTCAGCAGTATACCGTGTGATGTGCTCTTTTACTTTGAAAACTGGGGCGTGCTGTGTACGCTTTATTTATTACCGAAAGGCGTGTTGAGTACTATACCACGGCATTGGCAACGCGGATGCGCGCCAGGTCAAGCTTGTTTGTTTATCGGCGAGTTCCCACAGGCAGCAAAAATTGTTGAATATTGTATAGCCTCGGCGTGTGTTGGAATGCCATGTGCCCGTTTTTTGGCACACGGTCTCAGGAAATGACGCCGAAGTATTCACTGCCGTAGCACCATGGTCCTGGATTCCTGGACGGAAAAGAGTGGCCTGCCGCAGCCTATGTGGTGGTATGTTGCAGTTATGTTTAAATAGAATGTTTCCTCCCGCTATCGAGCTATTTGCGACGCGTTTTTTTTTGCCAAAAGCACGTGCCCGTGATTAATTATTTGCGTCAGTGGCGTGACTTCCCGATGAAGCCAGCCGCGAGGCGCGGGCCTCTCGGAAAATCAATGGTGTTGGCAGCAGGCATGGGGATGAAGCCAGGCTTTTAGATTCGAAGTCGAAGCCAGAGCCACGACAGTGGCATGAAGCCGCAGTGGAAGCTGAAAGCGGCAGCTTCAAAGTCCGGAACTGCGAGGCCGATGCCGGGGCCAGGGACGTCGTGGCTGGAACGTTAAACCTAGCCCGAAACCAGTGGTTTCGAACTTTGATCACGCGAGACCGAGGCCGAAGTTAATGTCTTCGAACTTAGGAAACGCGAAGTCAGAGCCGAACCCGTCAGCAGGAACTCACAGGGTGGAACTCGGAGCTGAATCAAGCCGATTACAATGTTGTTTTGCGAAACCGAAATCATTTTCGTCTCTGGTAAAACTGCAAGGGATCAGAAAATATAGTCAGGATTTTGGAGAGCGATTGGGACGAGTGCAACATTGCCGATGAAAGATTTTCGGGATCATCTTCCTCGTCTTGCGATTAGCAAGATCGCAGTGTTTTGGACAGTTGTGTTTTTTCAAAGGAATTGTGTGGCGTTTTGAGTGTTGGAAAGTTGTGTGATGTGTTGACAGGACAAGCGTTTTTGTGAAGGGAAGGGAAGTCTCACTATTTTTGTGAAGGGAAGTCTCAACTACAATTAGAAAATCACCATGACATAGCCGAAGCCAGCAGTGCAAGATCGCATGAGGCTGAAGCCGAAGCTCAATTAAACAAATTAAAGCCTAAGCTGAAGACAACTGTTACGAATGGCACACAGCCGAAGCCGAAGCGAGCCCTTAAAAATCGGATCAAGCCAAAACGAAAGCAAAAGCCAACCATGAAAACGGCTAGCAGCCAAAGCCGAGCACGAAGCCACTAGAGGAAAACTGCGGGCTAGCGAAGCCTTAACCTTAGCCGAAGTCAGTTTCGTACTCACGCCTACTTAACTGGTCGTAAGGGTTTAACGGGTTTTATATACGGGTTTTAATATATGTAACGGGTTATGATATTTAATGGGTTTAATAACGGGTTTGCTCATTTCATGCTGATAAAGTGAACACGCATCCGCTCGTTCGCGAGCAGATGCGAATGCAAAACGTATTCTCTCGCACTCCTTGTCGTGCATTGCAACCGTTCTGTTGTAGTTTTCAACGCTGGAACTTCCTGTCACGTATCTGAAAATGTATGGTCTTAGTAGGAACGTTCGTCGGCAAACATTTTTTAAAACTTCCACCTTATTCCACGTTCCACCCACGAGAAATGACCCGTTCTGTGTGCCACGGCCGTACCCCAACCTCCCGCGCCCATGTGGTCATCGGTCGGCGTTTCAGCCAGCTCTGACTCACGCCCGTCTCCCCGGCTCGCCCCTCCCCAACATGGCCGCCGCCGGCCGACTTGTCCGTGGCGCGGATGAGTTTCGTGCCGCCGCCGCCCAACGCACGGTGTGTGGACGTGACCTGCCTTAAGCAGGGCCCGACTCCACTCGAACGTCCCCGGCGACAGTCTCGTTTTGGAGTGCTCGTGAGGTCCGCGGGTTCGTCGGGCTTTTGCAGAGTCGAGACACGTTCGCCGCTGGCTGTGGACACGAAATAATGCATGTAAACGACGTCGTGGTGGTGACGACATGTAACATTCAAACACCACGTGTTCATGCCTGTAAGCAACGCTGCAGCGGTGCAACTGCGATGGTTGTGGGAAAGCATCCGTGCAAGAACATGGTTTGCGGACTGGACCTATCCCTAGAACACGTTTCCATGTCTATATCGTAATATAGTGATGCCTTACATCATGTTCTGCCATTAACAGCTTCTATATCACATGCAGCCTGTCTTTGCATGGATTGATCATCCACGTAGAGATCGTGCGTAGAAGGTACGCACTTATTACCTAGTTCCCATATCCTGTGGCTTGAACCAGTCTTTGTAGGCGAGCGTAATATTCGTAGGAGACCTAGTCGGTGCGGAACAGGGAGCTGTTAGATAAGATCGCTTCGTCCGCGGCCATGGCCGTCCGTCCTCCCACACGGGAGTGTCGGAGGGCGGGCGCCGCCACCCGTCTCCTGTCGTCCCTCGAAGCCGCCTCTGGGCGACGCTGGGCCGGGCGGCGCGCGTGTCGGAGACCGCACCGCGTCACGGACGGCCGTCCGCGGGGAACGCGCTGACGTCGTGCACCGCTGCCGGGAGAGGTCACGTGCACCGCTGCCGGAACAGGTCACGTGCACCGCTGCCGGGAGAGGTCACGTGCACCGCTGCCGGGAGAGGTCACGTGCACCGCTGCCGGGAGAGGTCACGTGCACCGCTGCCGAGAGAGGTCACGTGCACCGCTGCCGGGAGAGGTCACGTGCACCGCTGCCGAGAGAGGTCACGTGCTCCGCTGCCGGGAGAGATCACGTGCACCGCTGCCGAGAGAGGTCGCGTGCACCGCTGCCGAGAGAGGTCACGTGCTCCGCTGCCGGGAGAGGTCACGTGCACCGCTGCCGGGAGAGGTCACGTGCACCGCTGCCGGGAGAGGTCACGTGCACCGCTGCCGGGAGAGGTCACGTGCACCGCTGCCGGGAGAGGTCACGTGCACCGCTGCCGAGAGAGGTCACGTGCACCGCTGCCGAGAGAGGCCACGTGCACTGCCGCCGGTAGAGGCCACGTGCACTGCTGCCGATAGAGGCCACGTGCACTGCCGCCGGTAGAGGCCACGTACACTGCCGCCGGCAGAGGCCACGTGCACCGCCGCCGGTAGAGGCCTCGCTCAATGGAAACGTGAAGCACACGCGGACGTGCTGTTGTTATCTGGAGAGGCGTGATTTACGCCACCGGTCACTGTACGACTAACCACCATCATCAGCTGCCTGAAGTGAACATCCCTCACGATTTCTGCATGCGTGCGTGGGAGGAAGTCTGGACCGCACTCGAGCTTATTAAGCGGAATTATGGGTTTGTCCATTGATGGGAGAACAGCGCACGGTGGTGATCATCACCCTGGCGGCAGGTCCACAGCAGGCGTGTCGTGCTCGTCCCGTCTCGAGCGCGGGGTGACGCCGTCCCGCCAATCTCTTCAGGTCGATGTTGGAGGACGACTGGCTGATCTGGGTGGGCGGCGCCGGCCGGAAGCAGCCCCTGCTCCGCTTCAGCTGCGGCAACCTGGACGACGAGCCCATCGGCCCCGTCGGCAGGCAGTACCACATGCTGTTCAAGATGCAGAACACCGACAGCAAGTGAGTGGGGCTGACCGTGTGCCCGCGGCGCTGTTCGGTATTCTGCGTGGCGGGTCGAAGAATGGCCGTCGTTCCGCTGGTGATTCTATCTCCCCTTTGTTTGCAAACTCCGTCCGGGGGGCTGTTTACCTTCCGGTGGGGGCTGTTTTTCACCGTTTGATCAATAGTGGGGATCGGCTGATGGATTTGTCGAGATTGGCAGCTTCCCCACTGTTAGAACAAAGTTATATTGTTTGTTTCAATTTCCCCGTCGACTCCCTTCCTGACGATTCACTCTGAGGAACACGCAAGTCCGTTCGCTGGCCGCAGCAGCGTCATCTGACGGACGTGCTTCTGACGCTGACGGTAAAGCAGCGCCCGTGCGTCGGGCGCTGCTTTACCGTTCACGTCGGTCTTTGGTGTCTGAAATTTACGTTTCGGCAACCGTGCGGCACATGTCTCCCGTCCGACCCGATGTACTGCATTTAATTCATATTACATATTTTGTTGTATATTGTATTTTTTATTGTACACATTATCTGACGCATAATAACACACACACATATATATATATATATATATATATATATATATCGCTATTGCTGTATCATTATATATAGTGCATTTTATTTTATTCATCCATGACGGTGGCAATGTGCGGGTCTCTGCCGGCCGTTTGAGTGGGTAACACAGCGCTGGTGCTGCCGCGCCGGTAGGCTGTTCCGCCGACTCATGGACGTCCACGGCGTCCGTGAGGCGTCGCCGTCCGTCTGCGATTTCAACATCCTCTGGACGGGCGTGCACCCCAAGCCGTTCGTGCTGCGCAACCTGTACGACTACCAGCGCGTGAACCACTTCCCCAGGTGGGCGCCGCCGGTGTCCGCTCCCTCGGCGCCGCCGGCCTCGGACGGTATTGACTATTGGCCGGAGGTATTGACCTCGCTGGCCGGCGGTGTAATCCCCGAGAGCAGCGGCTTATCTAGGACCGCTCGCCGAGCGGAGGAGGAGCGGGGGTCGGGGCAGGGATAATCGCAGACGATGCCGCGGCGCCCCGCTGTCCATGTCACTAGGGGCATTGGGCTGACAGGGTGACTTGCGGTGCTTTTGGTGGGCGGTTCTAAAGATAGTGGTTTGTTTGGTCTAGCGTCGGTTTCAGCTGGCCGAGTTCCACGTGTTTATTTCCGCTTGCGTGCGGGCGTGGGGCGAGATAAAAAAGTAACCGCCGTGCGGCGTAGGATTGACAAACAGCATCGCCCAATCGGCCTGGTCGTTGGTTGACAGCCGGCGAACCTTGTCGTGTCGGTGTAATTGGATCCCGTGGTCCACCCGATCACGCAGCTAACGTGTTCTCCCACGGAAGGCGAGGCTGTCTGGGGTGTGGAGCCTTTCTCCCGATCCAGAAATCGCGCCAGTTGTCTCGTGCAGGCTCCACGTCGCCGTGCAAGATTCGGCCGCCCGCTGTACCGTGCAGTCCCGCTGCACGCGGCCATGTGTGCAGCGGGGCGGGGCGCCAGCGGCGGCGGGAAGGGTTATGTGCAGCTACTGGATCGGTTGCTGTAGCCGGCTTGTTTCTGCTGTCAGGTCTTACGAGCTGACGAGGAAGGACCGGCTGTGTAAAAACATCGAGAGGATGAAGTATATACGCGGCGCCAAGCACTTTGACTTCATACCGCCCAGCTATATCATGCCAAACGAATATCAGGTAATGTTTGAAAGATATGGATGTCTGGCAAACGCCCAGTCGATTTGATTCATGTAAGGCGTATTGATACGAGTTATTGATACGAGGCCGCATGGCGGCGTATTGATATGATACGAGTTTCGCCAATTTTATAACCACATAACATTATTGTATAGTAAAGCTTTATCTATGCAACGAACTCTGGCGGCCTGGTGGTTCCTGGGCCAGGGCGCCTGCTTCCTCGTTGTATTCGAGCACCTTGGGACACGAGCTTCCCCCAGCCCGTTCGTCACGTGACATTATGACTCACGCCGCCAAGCACGCCGCGTTAGCCCAACTCCAAATAGCGCTCCGTCCAAAGCCGCTTAGCGACAACGGTGTGCGGCCCATGCGGCCCGGGCGACTGCGGACTGTCGCGACCGCGCCTCTGTGACCTGGCGTGACCTGACCTGACCTCGTGACCTCGCTGCCGACAGGAGTTCTGCTCAGCGTTTCTGAAGGACCGCGGCGCGTGGATCGTCAAGCCGGTCGCCTCGTCCCGCGGTCGGGGCATCTACCTCATTAACCACGTCAGTGCAGCAGGGAAGGGGGGGGGGGGGCGCCGCCCACGGCTCTGCTGCCTGGGGGGGGGGGGGGGGGGGGACGCCCACGTCGTTGTGGGCAGCGGTGCTGCACTGGTCCATGCTGGCGTGACTGGGAAGGCGTTGTGAGGATTATTGCATTGATGTGGGGGGGGGGGGGGGGCGGACAAGGCCTCAATAATGCAACGGAATGCCATGGACTCGTAAGTATGGAGAGCGGGTTGAAGTCGGTCCTGGCGACATGTGGGTTCATCCCGTCAGTGACGAGGCATGCGGGAAGGGGAGGCAGAGACAGAATCAGTAAAATCACGTCTGATCGCCGTCGCCGTGTGGAGCGAACCAGCTTGTGCGGCTGTGATAGCGCTGCAACAGGCACCGCGGTCCGTGCCCGTCTGCATGCTTCTGAGTCAGGAGCGGCTGGGTGCGGTGAGCTCATCGCCGACGAGGGCGGGCCGTACGCCCTGGCAGCTATCGGCCGGCGCTGAACGTCAGGGCATACGGCCGGCTTTGTTGTGCCTGGCTTTGGAACTTTGATGTGTCCGGTTGATTCATCGCATGCAGTGGTGCTACACTGGTGCAGCTGGTTTCAAGACATCTTAGATTGTTTCAAGACATTTAGTGGTAAACGTTATTAATTTGAAAGTCGTGTGTGTGTCGAATGTCGTGGCGAACGCGATAGCCATGCGTTTTCGGACCATGATTCCTGGGTGCGTGTTCTGATACGAATGCGTCTGTTTTCACGTGTGCGTTTACTTGCTTACGTCCATTCGGGCGGACCCTCCCCCCCCCCCTAGTCCCACCCAAACCCCCCCTATGTATCATCTGTCAGAGAGGTATTCACAGCACATCCTTTTCGTCTTGCCTGCTCCAAGGCCGAGTTCCCCACCGTGCCTGTGATCCGACGTCGTGCCGCGTGACGTCACTCCGCCAGACGTCACTCGTCTGACGTCGCGCGTCTGACGTCACACAGCCGGACCAGATTCCGCTGGACGAGAGCGTGGTCGTGTGCAAGTACATCGAAAACCCGTTGCTGGTGGACGGCTACAAGTGCGACGTGCGGCTGTACGTGGCTGTGACCTCCTACGACCCGCTGGTCATCTACCTGTACGAGGAGGGCCTGATCCGCTTCGCGGCCGTCAAGTACGACCAGAGCGCCAAGATGCTCTGGAACCCCTGCATGCACCTCACCAACTACAGCGTCAACAAGTACCACACCAATTACGTGCAGTGAGTACGCGGCGGGAGTGCGGTTTCTCAACCCGTTTCCGGGTAAACAGGTCGTGAGGGGTGTGTGGCTTGTCGTTTGTATAAGTGGTTGTGGTAAGACGGGGCTGACGGAGGTGTCTGCGAATGGTCGGGGCCTGCTATCGTCATCGTCGTCGACGTGGCTCGGCCGGCCGTATCGTGTGAGGCTGTGGCGCTGTGGAAGTGACGTGCGCTGTTGGCCCGGTCGGCCGTGCCGTGTGGGGGCTGTGACGCTGTGGAAGTGACGTGCACTGTTGGCCCGGTCGGCCGTATCGTGACAGGCTGTGACGCTGTGGGGACTGACGTGCACTGTTGGCTCTGTCGGCCGTATCGTGACAGGCTGTGACGCTGTGGGACTGACGTGCACTGTTAGCTCTGTCGGCCGTATCGTGTGAGGCTGTGACGCTGTGGGACTGACGTGCACTGTTGGACCGGTCGGCCGCATTGTGTGAGGCTGTGACGTTGCAGGAGTGACGTGCACTGTTCACGTATTTAACCCGTTTCCGTTAGATATGGAAACGGAAGTGGGGTTGACGCGTTGTATGTCGTAAATGCATGTTGCTGCATTCTAGGGTCGTATATCGCGGATGTGAAGCTTTTGCATACACCAGTTGTCTAACACTGATTCTTCAAATTATCTCCCATGGCAGCGTGGTGTGGTCCGTCAAAGCATGGCGTAGTATCTAGCCGAAAAAACGCGTTAGGCTCGGTGCCTGGGAAGGTCTTCAGTCTGCCGGTTGCTTCCGTTCTTTTTAGCTGGAAATCCACAGAATCCCTTTATTCTGCAGGCCGTATCTAACACAAATCTCTCCGTGCACGACAAACCCGTTTAATGGTTCACGGGACTCGACATCGTAGGGCACCAGACCATAAAACGGCGTCCATGACTCCTGGCCGGCTCGAATCTGGCCTGCCGTGTGACGTTCACCCGGGGCCGTGTGGCGTTCACACAGCGCCGTCGGACGTTCACACAGTACCGTGTGGTGCGCGTACAGCGCCGTGTGATGTTCACACAGTGCTATGCGGTGTGCGTACAGCAACCGTGTGATGTTCGCACAACGCCGCGTGAAGTTCACACAGCGCCGTGTGTCGTTGCACACAGCGCCGTGCGTCGTTGCACACAGCGCCGTGTGTCGTTGCACACAGCGCCGTGTGTCGTTGCACACAGCGCCCTGTTGACGTTGCACACAGCGCCGTGTGACGTTCACACGCACCATGTGATGTTTACACACGCCGCGCGAAGTTCACACAGCGCCGTGTATCGTTGCACACAGCGCCGTGTGACGTTCCACACAGCGGCCGTGTGACGTTCACACAGCACCGTGTGAAGTTCACACAACACCGTGTGATGTTCACACAACGCCGCGTGAAGTTCACACAGCACCGTGTGTCGTTGTACACAGCGCCGTGTGACGTTCGCCAGCAGCGCCGTGTGACGTCCACACAGCACCGTGTGGTGTTGAGACAGTGAGTGCTGTGTGGGCGGTTGCCGCCTTGGGCCGTTAGCCGGACTGTGCTCCTGCCCGCAGGAACGATGACGCCGAGGTGGACGACTACGGCAACAAATGGTCACTGTCGGCACTGCTGCGCCACCTGAAGCTGGCCGGCGAGGACACCACGCGCCTGATGCAGGTGAGAGGCCGCCGTACTGGCGCCGAGCAGCACCCACGGCCTCGTCACGGCGACGCTGGTCCTGCCCACACACGGGCGCGGCAACGCCCCCGCGCCGACACGAGAAGCCTCCCTCACACTGGATAAGCGGCCGGTCCACAGGGGTGTTTTTTTTTGCCGCGCACGGTGGCGGCAGTCGGCATGCCCGGCGGATGCTGGCATAAGGCTCCCCCTCGTACGACGTCGCAAGGCGTCGCCCCCACGTGGTGGTGCTAGTGTGTGGTCGTGTGGTGTGCTGCCTCCGAGGGGTCTGGGGATGGCACGCGGGCTGTCCGCTGCGGCATTGCTGGCGGAAGCTCTTTATGGTCGGCGGCCCTCGTTGTCACAATGGATCGCGATTTATGAATGTCAACGTTAGCTGCGCTGTCGGCGTTTTGAAAGCTGGTGAATTATGCCCTAGTTGTCCCATTCCCGGCCCCCATCAAAATGCAAGGAACGAACCAGGTTATTGTTATTCTGTGCGCGAATGCTAAAAAGGGAAGCGGTTCATGACGCGGTCCAGGTATGAATGCCTGGGCCGATGACCCCGGGCAGCGCGCCGGCGCGCGCGCCATCGTCGACGGGCGTCCCGCCGCTGCCGGAGGTAACGCCTCGGCCGCCTGCCGGCAGGACATTGAGGCCATTGTCGTCAAGTCTGTGATTGCCGTGGCGCCTACGGTCACTACCGCCTGCAAGATGTTCGTGCCGGCCAGGAGGAACTGCTTCGGTGAGGCGCTGGCTGGCTGGCGGCTGACGGCTGGCTGTCGCGGGTGGTCCGATGTGCTGGCGCCGTTCGGGGAAGGGCTTTCTGTAACTGTGGAGCAGGCGTGAATGGCCAATAGTTGCATTATGCATGCCCTGTTGTTGCATGCCCTATCTTGGCTATCTATTGTTTGGTGCGAGTAGGTGATGCGTGATTGGCTGCTATTTGTAGCTGGACAGGGAAGCGTGGCAGGAGAAATGCTGCATGCGAACTCCATTCCGAAATTACAGAAAGGGCATCAGTTATGGACACAGCTCTTGGGAAGCCTCTGTGCCGGGCGTCGTGAGCTTTGCACGCTTCCATCTTGTTTGTACGAATCAGTACCAATGCGTGCAAGCTGGTGCCCTAAATCAATCAATGCCAAAAAATAGCATTGCGCAAACCAACGTGATGTACTGCGCCTGTACTTGACAAACAGAGACTCGTTCGTATCAATGATCAAGGGTTGATCTGGAGCGCACGATCAGAATGCGCAGTGTTGTGTTATCAGTAAAGAAAAACACACCACTGGCAGTAGGGCCGACTCCTGGAGTCACCGACAGCCCTGCACTCTGATTTGTTTCCCCACTGTCATACAATGTCCTTATGGTGCGTGACTCATCCATGTTTACTAACACGACATAAGGTACGTGTCCCTAGTGTGTGGGTACCAGGCCCAGAGGCGCCGCTGGCGGGCGCGGCTGATGACGCGCCGTGCGCCGCAGAGCTGTACGGCTTCGACATCCTGATCGACTCGTCGCTGCGGCCGTGGCTGCTGGAGGTGAACCTGTCGCCGTCGCTGGGCTGCGACACGCCGCTCGACAGCAAGGTCAAGTCGCCGTCGTCGCCGACCTGTTCACGCTGATCGGCGTGCCGGCCGTCGACCCGAGCCGCGCCCGCCAGGTCAAGCAGCGCCAGCGCGCCAACCGTCCGGGTCAGTGACACGGCTGCCCAGGGCAGGGGGCAGATCACCACCATAGGGTCGAGCGGTGCCTTTGAGGGTGCAGCCGGTGTCATGAGCTGAGCATGCTAAAGAGGAAGACGCGAGGGATAGCCATTGTTTACATCTTGGAGAAAATAAGGCAGTATAAAGCTAAGTTAAATGTGACTGCGTAGGTGTGGCAAGCATAGTCCCCATGATTGGCGAACTCCAATCAGTGGTGACGAAACACGCGGGCGTCGCGAGAGTGTCGAAATCAACGCTCCACCAGCCCCCTCACCGAGCTGTGGCGCGGGCTCCGGCTGCCGGACGCTGCCGTCCGCGGCACACGGCCGCTCTCTCCGCGCCTGACGCCGGGCCTCCTCTCCCAGATGCGCGCGCCGTCGATGGACTCGGTGCCGCGCGGCGGCCGCCAGATGCGCTCGGCTCTCTCGGCCGAGGAGGCGCGGGTGGTGCGCGAGGTGCGTGAGGAGCAGGCGCGCCGCGGCGCCTTCATCCGCATATTCCCGGCACCCGATACCTGGTCACTGTACAGCTGCTTCTTGGCGCCCATCAACTCGCACCTCAACCAGATGCTGCACGAGGAGCTGTACCCCAACACGAGCGCCGCGCCACACGGTATGGCAACGGGGCGGAAGGGAAGAGCACAACGGAAGGGATGGGACGCTGGATCACGTGGGTTAGCAAATGGCACGTGTTACACCCGTGCGGAGTTGTGCTGTGCTCGGTGGTAAACCAGTTCCGAGCGATGCTCGTGCAGAAGTGGCGTGTGATGGGTTTGTAGTCCAACGCGCAACGTTAGGCCCGCTCGTCTCACACCTAGGTCCGTTCAGACTGTGTCCCTAACGCCGGATCCCGTTGCCGCGTCCCTGACACTGCCTCCCGCGCGGATCCTCGCTGTGTCCCTGACGTGTCCCTGGCGCCGGGTCTCGTCGCCGCATCCCTGACACCGCCTCCCGCTCAGGGCCGTGCTGTGTCTCTGACGTGTCCCTGGCGCCGGATCCCGTCGCTGCGTCCCTGACACCGCCTCCCGCGCAATCCTCGCCATGTCCGTGACGTGTCCCTGACGCCGGATCCCATCGCCGCGTCCCTGACACCGCCTCCCGCTTAGGGCCGTGCTGTGTCTCTGACGTGTCCCTGGCGCCGGATCCCGTCGCTGCGTCCCTGACATCGCCTCCCGCGCAAACCCTCGCTGTGTCCCTGACGTGTCCCTGGCGCCGGATCCCATCGCCACGTCCCTGACACCGCCTCCCGCGCGGATGCTCGCTGTGTCCCTGACGCGTCCCTGGCGCCGGACCTCACCGCCGCGTCGCTGACAGCACCTCCCGCGCAGGGCCACGCTCGCTGAGCCGCAAGAGCAGCAGCATCCCGTCGCTGAGCATCACCAGCAAGTCGCGCAACGAGCGCACGGCCTGCTACGAGCGGCCGCTGGCGCGCGGCTCCAAGGACGCGTTCGTGGGCTGCGGCGAGACGCGCGACCCCGAGGAGCAGGCGTCCGAGCGGCTCACTGTCAAGCGCACCATCATCGAGGAGATGCACCGCGGCGTGCGCATGAGGTACGGCGGCCGGCGAGGCAGCGGCCCGACGCCGCCGGCCTGGGCCGCCTTGGTGACTTGGCGAATGTTGAGACGCCAAGGGAAGTCATTCGGGCATGGACTGTTCTGGAATATGGACTATCCTGAATATAGACTGACTTCGCACATGGAATATGGGAAGCCATTTGCATATATGCTTTAATTTTTTTGAAGGACCGCGCTTTTGCGGAACGTCATTATCCTGTCCGGTTACTCCGTGGGGCAGCTGCATCAGGCGCTGTGTAACCGTAGAAGTCGACGCGCCGTGAAAAGCCCGTAACCAACAGCAGTGAAACGTCACCGACTGCCGGCTGACCGGTGACCGCTGCCTGTCTCCGCGTCGGCAGCCGGTACCAGGCGCGGCTGGCGTTCAGCTTCTACCTACAGCACATCCAGCGCCGGCTCATGTGTAACATGGAGCAGGTGCAGAGCTCCGGTCAGCTGGATCTGGTGCTGCGCTTCATCAGGAAGGCGGCGCGCAACCTCACCGACGCCTACGTCATCCAGGTGAGCGGCGTCACTCGGGGTTACACGTCATCCAGGTGAGCGGCGCCACTCGGGGTTACACGTTTTTAAGGTGAGCGGCGTCACTCTGGGTTACACGTGATCCAGGTGAGCGGCGTCGCTTGCGGTCGCACGTCATCGAAGGGGGTGGCGTGACTCAAATTGACACGTCATCGAAGTGGGTGGTGTCACTCACGGTCACGCGGAGGCGTCATGGCTTCCGTTCTTTCAGGCGCCGGGGCGTCACTTCACGCCGGTGGAGAAGGCCATCCTGATCGCCAAGCAGCTGGGTGACTTCATCCACCTGTACAACCGGGAGACGCTGGAGCACGTGGCGCCGCGCGAAGGCCTCAACATACTGGAGCCGCAGCTGCACAAACAGTTCGTCACCGGTGCCAGGTGCGGCAGGAGCGCGGCAACAGCTGTCTGTACTGGTGTCAGTGTCCTATCTGGTGTCAGGAGCGTCGTGTCTGGTGTCAGTGGCGTCGTCTCTAGTGTCAGAGGCGTTGCGTCTGGTGTCAGTGGTGTCGTGTCTGGTGTCAGCGTCGTCATGTAGGGCGTGGGGCTATCTTGAGCGATGAATCCTGTGTGATTGCCCGACTCGCTTGCTGTGACCGTCCGATTTATGTACATTCACCAACATGGGGTCACCTGAACTGGGCATCTGCACAACGTACTCGCGACGTGCTTTTGGCTTCAGGCTCCCTTGCTCGAAGTATATTTGACTGCTTATTTTTGCAGCCGTAGCGTAGGGATTATTCGAAATATGGCACCTTTAGCATGACATTCTCAATATTGTGTCGCAGTTGTCTGTGCTGCCCAGTCGTCCTTGAAGCCAGCTGCGATTCATAAACATCCTAACATCCGGTCTTCCCAACGCCCTTCCATCCTGGCTGTCGGGCCCGGTGATGTCACTCACCGGTGGCCGGTCATTGCAGCGAGTCGGACCTGGAGGAGGTGCTGACGCTGCACACGTCGCTGTTCCACTCCGCCGACCTGTTCTTGGGACGGGCGCGCGCGCGCGAGCCGGCGCCTCGCGTGCGCACGGCGCCCTCCAGCGGCGCTGCCGACGGCTCCGGCTCGGCGCCGCGCGAAGAAGACGGCGTGCCCGACACGGACGCGGCGCGCGCCGCCAGTCGCCCCAGCCCGCTCTCCGTCGGCAACCTGCTCAAGAGCTCGCTGCGCGACTTCGCGACGACCGGCGGCCGCGACAAGGTGAAGACGCTTAACAAGATCTACCGGTAGCGGAGGCGCCGTCGGAGCGGGAGCCGCGGGCGCCTGGCCGCCCCCGGCTCCGTGGCTCCCGGCTCCCGGCTCCGCGGCTCCCGTCTTGGGCTCTGGGGCCCCGAGTCGCCCCGCCGCGCTCATGCAGCTGCCGGCTTCGCACCGCCGGCCCGGCGGCGCCGAGCGCGACGGTGCCCGCTCCGGACTGCGCGCGCGCCGCCCTGCTTCAGCTGCCGCCTCGCTCTCGTCTTACTGCCAGCCCGTGGCGCGGCCGTTCGGCCGGCGCGCCTCCCTTCCGATCCGAGTCCGGTGACAGAGTCGACTCGACCGTCCGACCAGTCGAGCGGTCCCGCGGCGTCGCCGCCGCCGGCCCCGGGCCCGGCGGCGGCGCCGGGGACGCAAATTATTTTGGTACCTGTGCGTCTGCGTACAATGCTAGTCAGCGAAACCATTAACATAGTACTTACTGCGATCCGGTAGCATTTTATTTTCACTAATCCGTCCAGGTGACACATTTTTGGTTAGAAGGGTGATTGGATGAGATGTGAGTACTTAATTGAAGGTTAACAGGTGAAATTAGTTGTTGCTGGCTTGAAAGCTTTATCGGAATGGATGCGCTGAGGGATTTTGTTGCAGATTACTGGATGCTAGGCTTGAGTGCTCTTACGCAAGCTTAGGACCTTTATCGCTTCGCTTTATGGTGGGACCCGTCACGCTTCGTTGTGAAATAGTCATGTTTGTGTTGCTCCTGTTATCATTTTGCAATATTCAGCGTGTTATGATGAAGCCCCCGCTTGTTCGACGTTTCTTGTCGGCTGCTTAGGGCCACATGACCCGATTAGGCGCAAACACGTCGTTCATCGATCGTCGATCATCTTGCCGTTTATTTTTGGTGCCAGCTTTTTGTTCTGTGAGTGCTGTTTCTACCTTTCCATCATGTGCTACCCGCTTGTCATGGCTAGATCAACATTGCTGCGACATCTTGATTTAAGGGCATATTTATGGAGCCAAAATCATGTCGGTTAAACTATTCATCGTTCAACGGAATGAGCCTAGTGGTGAAGATTTCAGGCATCAACGAATCAGTCGCAACGAATTAGGCATTGTACTTCGCATCTGTTTTGCAATATCCATCGTGCAGTATGGTATGTTACGGCCCAGCGCCGTTATGTCACACCAACTGCGTAAACACACAAGTGAACGCACGCGCACAAGATGTACGGTTAGCGACGGCTGTAATGTTTCTTTTAGCAGGTGCATACCTTCGATATTGAGTTCGCCGAGCGCTGGACGCGACGTGGTGTAGTCCTGGCCGTCGGCGTGATGCTGGCCACGACAGAGGGCGCTGATGTGCAGCAATACAGGCAGTCACGTGACGCCGACTCTCAGAGGCCTGCGCAGCTCATGGAGACCGTGCCGAGGGGTTTTTAGGGGACGCGACGCGACGCCCGTCCCGCCGCGTCCTTTTATGGAGCGTGGAGGACCGCAGCGACCGCACACGCGCTCAGATGTCATGCCGCAGCACGGATTTACCGCAACCGCGCCCGGGCCCCCGTGCGGGAGCCGAGGACGCTGACTGCGAGGACATTACGGCTCGCGTGCTGGGGACCGAGTGCAATGCATTTTGTGCTATCTCGAATTGCTGTCATGGTTACAACCTGAGACAAGTGTATCTTTGCCGTATCATGATATGTCCTGAGCGTCGTTTCCAGCGTCTCGGGCATGATGTGGTGACTTCAGTTTCAGGTTGAAATGTTTTGGCAGCCGTTCAGACCTCAACACATTTTGGGGTATTGCAAGTCTTGCATGCCTTGGAACATTATGAAACGCAAGTGGGCATCATTTGTTACTTTATTCGAACGTCAGCTCGAATATCGGCATTCAGTTTTCACATACATTGTTTAACGCTGCCATACACTGCTATTTACACATTTGCACACTGCATGTCGTAATAAGTCTCGAGACCTCGTAGTCCATTTGAAATCTGTCACATTGGCCGCCGACTCTTCAACAGCGCTAGCAATAACACGAGCCCGGCGGTGGCCACCACATTAGCATGCACCTCGACAGCAGTAGGTAATAAATAACGTTACGTCTGGACACACACTCACGGATATCAGAGGCCCGGGCCGCCCGCACCGTTTGCCGGGTCACGCCCGAATGTTTTGGCTTCTTCTCACGCTTGTCGTGGATCACTCGGAGAGCGCACGCGGGCCCCGCGGCGCGCGAAACGGACGGCTCGGTAAACATGCCATCTGCTGGTGACGTTGAGAACTACTGTTGGCCTGCCACCTGCCGGCGTCGATCAGAAGTTCCACCTGAAGGCGGGCTGCTGGCTGGGCTGCTGCCGGCCCAGCTGCTCGTGCAGACTGCGACCGTTGCAGATGGCGCCGCTGTCGACCGAGGATGACGCGGCTTCGTCCGTCGAGTTGCCTGCAGAGCCAGGTAAGCGATCATCGTCAGTCACGTGGGTGTCCAAACCCAACGAAGCCGGCGTTGTCTCGTGTCTCAGATAATGCCAAGAAGACCTGGTCGCAAGCGCGATGTTAACTCAGTCCAAATAACTCTGAATCCGAACTCAGTCCAAACAAGTATCTGGCACTACCATCGAATGTCACCGGCCCTCAACCGCCTCGCTCAGTTCATCGCAGCTCTGAAGCGCGCAACCGAGGCGCCCGCGGCTCCAATCGCTTACCTGTGCTCTTCCGCCGGTACACGATGGCGCCGATGACGGTGGCGGCGACGACCGTGACCGTGAGCGCGGCGATGACGATAACGGCGGCCGTCAGCGGGAAACCCTGCTGGCGCGAGACCACCTCGCGCTGCAGCGCCACGTAGTGGTCCTCGGCGGCGGCGAGCCGGTCGGCGCCGCCGGTGCGCAGCTCGGCCCACAGCTGGCGGTCGGCCCGGCCGGCCAGCAGGCGCGCCTGGCGGCGACGCGGCTCGGCCACGTCCTCCGCCGCCGCCGCGCTCGCAGCCGGCGGCGGCGAGGCGGTGGCCGCACCGGCGGCATCGCGCAACGCGTTGGACGAGAGGGTCGCCGCGTCCGCCGAGTCCGTCGACGCCGGCTGGCGTGCCGTCGCGTCTGACGTCATCGACAGCTCATCCTGACGCCAGGTCGAACCCGACCGCCACCGTGGCGGTCAGGCCGTCTTCTGCGACGTCGGACGGCACCTCTGACGCCGGCGTGGCGTCGAAGTCGGCACCCCACGGGCTGCTCACCTCGCCGGCCGGTGAGCTCAGGGTGAAGGTGACCTCGCGCATGCCCTCGAGCGCTGATGTAGCGTCGCCGCCGTCGTCGTCGGTCAGCTCGTTCCGACTGATAGCCGCCTCCTGCTCGGTTGGGCCGGCTGGTAGCGGGATGTACTGTGGGCCGGCGGAGACGGGTGTGTGCTGAGGGCCGGCCGTCTCGGGCGCGGCCGCCGGCACCGGTACTGTGGTCGGGTCCTCCTCGGCCATCTCTGTCGTCGTCGTCGTCGTTGATGATGGCTCAGTGGGGATGTGCTTGATGACCTTCTTCAACGTCACCGTCTTGGGAACGGCATTCACGATCACGACCTTGGCGTGTCCTTGCGCGGTATCCTCCGGCTCAGCCTGCAAGGGCCAGTCAGCTCCGCGTCATTTTGGGATCGGCCAATCAGTTCTGATATCGGTGAACAATACTTCAAGTAGCGTCGCGTAGCAAGTTTAAGTGTTGCTGCATCACCATGATTCAGAAACAATTCACTGTCACAGCGAAACTGCGCATGTTATGTCTGGCGCTCGCCGACCGCGATCACGGAACAACTTAAAGCGAATAAAATTATTAAAGGAATCGAATAAAAAACATCCGTGACTGTAATGTAAATATACTTCACGAAGTGGGCTCCAAAAGACGTCTCTTTGATGCCTGACAACCTGCAACGACAGTGGCAGTCGTGTCTAGCGCCGCATTATAGTGGCACCTGGCAGTCGATGCGTTCGCCGTTGACGTCGGTGAAGTACGGCTGGCAGGAGCAGGGCTCGACGCGACAGACGGCCGACGGCCGCGCTGCGCACGTGGCGTTGCCGCAGCTCTGGCCCCGGCTGCAGGCCGTCAGCGAGCCGGGCACCGACGGACACAGCACGAGGTCTGCCGGCAGGGCGGGCAGGGAGTGAGGCATGACGTCAAGCCATTTCCCTGGTCTCATCTCACCCTCAGCTATTTTCCGTTCATCATGCATTTATGCCCGTAACACAGCTGGGCTTGCAGCCGTCCAAGTGCCTAAACCGGTCGTCAACCATATGTTTGTCAGTCTTTAAATTCCTCATTTCCTCAAATTTATTTCCACTCAAGGAATGGATAATAACATGCGACGACAATGTGATTTTTTTTCTGAGCACAAGCCTAGAAAATCCCACCACAATGCTGGTTATTAAAGCACCGTAGACAGCCAGAGCCCGCAGATGTCATCACACAAAGAGATACGATGAACAGAAGATGAGCATGGCATTACATAGCAGCAGCCAGCGCCCGTGGGATCGGCGACTGGCCGCTCATTATCTGGACAGCGGGCCTGGCACGCCTGTCGGGAGCGGAAGGTGGGATCGGTGACTGGTCGCTCATTGCCTGGACAGCGGGCCTGGCACGCCTGTCGGGAGCGGAAGGTGGGATCGGTGACTGGCCGCTCATTGTTTGGACAGTGGGCCTGACACGCCTGTCGGGAGCGGAAGGCGGGTGCGGTGTTTGGCCGCTCATTGTTTGGACAGCGGGCCTGACACGCCTGTCGGGAGCGGAAGGCGGGGGCGGTGTTTGACCGCTCATTACCTGGACAGCGGGCCTGGCACGCCTGCCGGGAGCGGAAGGCGGGGGCGGTGTTTGGCCGCTCATTACCTGGACAGCGGACCTGGCACGCCTGTCGGGAGCGGAAGGTGGGATCGGTGACTGGCCGCTCATTACCTGGACAGCGGGCCTGGCACGCCTGTCGGGAGCGGAAGGTGGGATCGGTGACTGGTCGCTCATTACCTAGACAGCGGGCCTGACACACCTGTCAGGAGCGGAA